GTCGGCTATTGGGAAGACACCGTCTTTCGCATCGACGCATTTAGCATCGACGAAGAATACGAGCGGCTCATTCAACATCACGTTAGCGCTATGAAAGCTGGGCGTTCGAAAGTCACGAAGATACGTCTGTCTCCAGAAACACTCGAGCTGATACGCCAGCGTGGAATCTCACGAGTTGCAGGCAACCGCGAACTAACGTCCAAGCTTGCAAAACATTGCAAACAGGCGATAAAAGAAGATCTAAAAGGGAGAAGAGCACCAGTAATGGTTAAAGCTTCAAAGGCTGGGAAAAGTATTCGCAAAACCCGAGGCTTTGCTATACCGAAGTTTTTCCAATTACAAGACCAAGATGATTGCACTCCAAAGCCCATACAGCATAGTTGCAGCGTCCAGAAAGGCAATGGAGAAAATCATTCACGAATACTACTCGGATCTCTGCGATAGCCGCGTCCACCTTCCGTCATGTGAAATAAGGAGGATGGATATGTCGTATCACCGTTCTCCCTTCCAAACTCCGACATGCTATTTCGTCGGTGAAAGATCGAACAACACCAGGTCCAGGTCCTACTCTCTACAGGATAAAATCTGAATCCCTCAAAAACCTTCCGCCAGTAATAAACACATGGCTCTGCTCTTTACACGTCACAAGGTTTTTATGATTTAAATCTTATACAGTCTTATAAAGCATTAGAATGAAAAAGAAAACAGGAGGTCAACGAACATTTGGCCTAGTAACATTCTAGTTATCTTCAACAATGCTGAGATATTTGGAAAACTCCGGACCGTAGGTGTATGCGGTGGGGAACGAACGCGCTATTGTCCTGAAGGCGACAACGGAAAGCATTTGAAGGACAATATCGCGTTCGTTCTCCACCACATACACCTGCGGTCCGGAGTTTTGCAAATATCTCAGCATCATTGAAGTTATATTTCACAATGTATACCCTGCCGTTAAAAAGAATAGGCAGTAAATAATAAGTTAAAATTCTAGTTACCGTTCAAACATTATAAGGTCATAACATTGAGGGAAATCAACTACACAAGTGGGAGAACATTCGAGATTCTTTGAGAATCTGTAATCGTTTTGCAGCTCGTGTTGAGTGTATTTCTCTAATTTTTTTGTTGTACCAGCCCATTCATCACAATAACTGCAACTTATTATAGCGCCTTGAACTGAAGTAGTCAGTTACGGAACAAACTACCTAGCAATGATCGATCTCGTTCGAGAAAAGTTCTTTGTATATTTCCAAGTACAGAATAGACCTTCTCCCAAATGACGTCTGCCACAAGAGCTATGTTGAATAAGTAGTTGTTGACTACAAGAAGTGCTGGAAAATAAATGTGTACTCCAAAATAAACCACGGCCAATAAAATGATTTCTGCAGAGGTCATTCCGGCAACTGTCTCCCTTAACGAGTGACTCCAGTATAAAAGGATAAAGGATAAAGGTCTCGGCGTCGATCAATCCCTGAAGGATGCGCCATGCATTCGACTTCTTTAAGTAATCATTGGAGGTGGCTGAATGTATATCTGGCCTTTACAATGACTCGCGATGGCCTACCGATGTATCGAGCCAGTGCTGCTATCCTCCTAGACAAGTCTGGTACCAATTTGCCGACCCCGGAGGGATGGAAGGCTTGGTGGGCCATAGGCGCGGGATCGATTCCACTTGTGTCGCAGTGGGGCCTCCAACCACTGTGGAGCCACACGCGCCGATGACTCTTGTATAGCTAGAGTTATCTGAAATTTTAAAACCGACAACAAAGTACGGTAAACCAATCAACATTAATCGATAACTAGAGAAACATGCTTTTATTAGGTAGCAAACTCAGCGTTTAACACACCGGAAAGAAATTAGTCGGCAGGAAATGGAAATGGCTTGAAACACACGTGTGAGGAATGAAAAACGTAGAAACTCAGCGCTATACAACAAATGCACCACAAAAAATTGAGGGTACCATAGGACTAAAAAAGTAATAGTAATAATAATAATAATAATAAGCTAGAAAATTTATGCAGAACATCACAAACACAAATAACAATGGCCCTGTTTCAGGATGAAAGCATGAACGAAGCAGTATGAACGGACAAAGTCGCCTAATGTCGCCGAAATGTAGGCGCTCTCGCTGGCGGATAACGAGCGGCCAACGCATGAACGTCGAAATAACGCGAAGTATAAACGCAGAAAAAAGTTCTTAATCAAGGAATCCGATTCCTATGTACCAGAGTAGTCGTGTCTTTTACTCATAGTGTATTTCAGCCATAGAAATCTTTTTGGCTCTGGTTTGTTAAACAAGAACTTCAGTAGTTTGATATTCTACAGTTTACGAAATCGTCGACGCATTTTACGCACCTTGAAGCGTCGTCTTCGTTTCGCACCTTTACCCCATGCACCTGGAATGTTCTACTTTAATCATTTACTTTTTCTATATGTTCGTGAGTGCAGAAATGTTTTCTGAAAAATTTTGGATCTTAGCAATAAAATCTAAAGACGAGCTTGAACAGACTAAATACCCCCGGTAAACTGTGAGAATTTTCAACTATACTGTTATTCTTCAAGAGGGAGTTTTTGCATAAACTATTTTGGGAATGTGGAACGTAAACCAGTATGAATTACATTTATGGCTTCTTATGACTTTATCTTATTGAACGTGACGATCGGGAGAAGAGTGAAGACTGGGCGAAACTATTGAGTTCTTCTCGAAAGCGAACACCAGAAAACCAATCGATTTTCGATTGAAAACTATACGAGACCCGTTTAACTATCATGTACAAAACGTTAACAGTAAAGAATAAAAGTTCCTCGACGGCTCTTAGCGAAGGAAGAAATGCAGCTATAAGAAACAGTTGGATTTTAAACGAAACTACCGTCGGGAATCAAACAAAATTTAAAAAGAGACAAAGCGCTCGGTGTTCATCCCATGTCTATGGCATCATTCGTGGCATTTGTGTAAGTGGATTAATGCATATATAGCCTTTACAATTTCATCCAGTGAACTGCCTATTAAGACGGCCGCTTCATCCTCTCAGATAATTCTGGCACCAAATTGACGATCCCGCAGGGATGAAGGACTTCGTGAGCGGGGTGAGCAAGATCGAACCAGCATGTGTTTTAGGGTACCTCTAACCACTGCGTTACACACTTTCTCAGGCTTAAATAACTGGCATGAAATAGAAGCAAACATCCACACCAGCTGTCCAACGACGTACTGCCTCATCATAGCCAGCAAGCCAATCATAGATGTCAAACTGCGAAAGCGTAGGCACATTTTACGATTATACGTAAGGATTACCAAGGATTTCGCCATTTCCATTTGAAGCCTTAGATATGAACAATTTATACCAGAAATAGTAGCAGTCTTGAAGAAAACCTAGTTGCACCAATGGAAAACCGCCGTTCAACCCATAACAGTTAGTGACTGCCTGTGGTTACGACCAAGAAACGCCGTAGTAGGGTCTCCCGGAATTCCAGACAAGGAAAACTTGACGAACCAGCACAATATTAACCAACTAAGTGGAAAATACTCACAGGCTCAGCAAATTCTTTGTGGAGATGGACTGTTCGGAAACAAATACTGTAACTACCAATGGAACTTTTCAGTTTGAATGCATGCACTGTGTGATTAGATGGAAGCTGTTCATAAGAACTCTTGGCTTGTCCGTCCATGTATCAATGACACTACTGCATTACGTACCGATGTATCGAGCCAGTGTTGCTCTCCTCCCAGAGAAGCCTGCTACCACTTTACCGACCCCGGAGAAATGGAAGGCTTGGTGGGCCAGTGGCGCGTGTGGCGCAGTAGATGGAGGCGCAAGTGGAATCTTCTATTCCTGCGGGTGGGCAAATTGGTACTAGGCTTCTCTGGGAGGATATTTATAAAGGCGAGGACAAAGTCAGCAGTGATCAGCAATCGCTGCTTGGACACGAGTTAGGAGAACACTAGTCAAAGTGACATTTCGCAAGTCATAAATGGTATTTCTGACAAAATTTAAATAAAGGAGAGAGCTCTCGACGTTGATCAATCCCTGAGAGATGCGCCAGGCATTCAACTTTCTTAAGTGTCGTTGGAGGTGATTGACTGCGTATCTGACCTTTACAATGACTCCCGGTGGCCTACCTATGTATCGAGCCAGTGCTGGTATCCTCCCAAACAATTCTGGTATCAATATGCCGATCCCGGAGGAATGGAAAGCTTGGTAGGCCATGGGCGAGGGGATCGATTCCACGTGTGTGTTGCAGGGCGCCTCCAACCACTGCGCCACACGAGCCCTCTAACAAAAGTTAATGAACTGAAGCCAAAATTGACAGCGATTTGGTAATATAAATCAGTAAATCAAAAAAGAAATCGATGGACCGCTTTTTCGAAAGTTCCACGGCCACCGATTAGTGTAAACCACAGTGGATACGGTAGTTAGTCCAAGAGTTGAAGATTATCCGATTGATTGAAGTAACTAATAGATGCCTGATTTCATCAGTAGTAACTGTTAGAGAACATTATCATCCTTATCACGCCGGATATCACCTTCACCTTCCTCCTGTAAGCTTAACAATCCAAGAAGGTACCACCTTCATTTATCTATTTTCGAAAAGCTTAAGAATTGGCGAATGACTCACAGTAAAGGATGCTGGAATTTGTTTACACATCCAACACATTCTACAACAACTCTAAAGACCGACTTTCTATATTTCTATAAACCTCGGCATAGATAGTTGATATATTTTTTTATGTGATCTTATAAACTGATCTTAATAAGCTGACGCGAGGTTGGTACAGATCTTCATTGTCGTTGTTGTTGTTTTTGATGTTATTGATCGATGACTAACGTTTTGGCGACTTCGCCTTCCTCAGAGCCTCAAACTTGGGTAATAAAACGCAGTAATTAAACTAATTAATTAAAAACAACGACAACGACAACGAAGATCTGTACCAACCTCGCGTCAGTTTAAGAAGATCAGTTTATAAGATCACATAAAAAAATATATCAACATTCTACAATAGTTACTCAACAAACCCAAACAGCACTGTTAAAACGTTGAGCGAAATAAGAAAATAACAAAATAAAAAAAGAAAAGAGATCATCACCAACTTACCGATAACAAAACTCTCGATTTCACAATGATTTTCTCCTCTGACAATACGAAATAAACCGTCTTCACCCCATTGTCGTCCCCACGAATTGGCGGCCAACCAGTACGGAATCTCTCGACCGGTTGAACGGTCAACTCCCCAGCTAAAATTTCTCAGACAATTTTTCAGTTTTTTAAGCTCTCTAAATTGACTAATAGTTGTTTCCTATGTATCGTGACATGAAAAAAGAAGCCTTGTTCTGTTGAACATATTGGAAGGACGAATAAGAATTTTCCTCTCGTAATACATTTAAACTCTCCCAATGATTAACCGCATCATCGTGGCTGGGATGTGTTCCTGGGTGTACTGCGATGTACAGCGGGAGGATTCATTCTCCTGGCAGTCTCCCAAGCTGAGAAGCAGTCCGGCGTTTCCATCCGTAAACCGAGTTAAAAATAAACCAATACCAAGTTCCACCACCGTCCTGGTATCAAACTAGTCGCATGGTGGTAAATCTCCCTCTGATCCACAGTGAGACTGGCCATTCAAGTATCAAGTAACAGATAATACATTTAAACAGTTAATAATCAAGAATAATCACTGGATCCATATTAAATTTGTTATCTCTCCTTCGAAAATATACAATTGATTCTTCTATTAAAAACCTATGAAAAGTAAGAAGTACAGATGAAGCATTTTATGTCAGTAAGACCACGATCAACGGCTCTCTCGATCAAAGGCATGACTTATGAGACACCCAGTCACGTTTGCAGTTCTTTGCAAGTAGCTAACCTTATTCATTTCTCGGTAGAAATGATAGAAAAGCAAAATATAGCAGCAAATAAAACGCCGCCTATGGGTGTTTAAAATTTTTAGCCAGAAAGAAGCCACCTCTACGTCAAAGGAAGAATGATTCCTATCGAGGTCTTTCTGCTGAATCATCTAATTGTTTAAACAACAAAAGAGGACGCTAACTCAATAAAGATTCTATCAAACTCGTGTTAGATTTCAATGAAGGAGTGAGCAGGAAAAGATTCCGAACGCAACACAAAGAACGAAAACGCGCCTAGAAATCAATTACAATTACTTATGAACTAATTACTAAACCTGTTAAAGAAAGCTTTATGATTATGTTGAGTTTCACTTTAGCTCTGTATTTTTTATGGCCTATGAGAAAAAATTGTCCTCCTTAGTAGTTATTTTTTTCGCAAAAAACTTCTTGATCTTTACTCAATCTTCCAGCAACATTCAATCCGTAGTTTTTTCTCCTCCACCATCCACTTTTACCAACGATTAATTTAATTGACAAATTGTAAGTCTCCCACAACTTTTGGACTTCAGCAAATTTCTGAGATCCCTGTGCTGACATTTCCTTCATATATCACAATGCTCAGCTACTGGCGCTCTCGTGAAGGCGCCTAATCTCGTGTCTGTTGAGTACTGGACGACGCCTAATTTTCAGGGTTAACGGACTTGCCACTTTTTGAAAATCAATAGCAATTTATCGATGGCTAGAGGACTTTATTGGTTCAGAATAAAAGTGAACTGTAGGAAAGACTTTGTATATCGCTGTATGGATATGAGCGATGTTTATGGGACTATTTACTGTGTTACCATGGCCCATCATACAAACATTATTGTCAATATTTGGAAGTGTTCTTCAATTTATGGGTCACTATTTCACTATTTCATATAGCCGCACACTCTATACGACAACTATCACTCACTGTAACTGATCTTGTTGAGCTGATGGGAGGTTGGTATTCACTATACTTGATAACTGAATGGCACATCCTCACTGGTTGCGCGGGCCCCAGCATAATCTCCATTTTTCGGAGATTCGCTGGTTAAGCCAATGTGGTTCCCTGGAATCCCGAGGTCAGCCGGGCCAAAGTTTGACCCAGGTCTTCACCACCACAGGCAGTCACAGCTCTTGTGGATCAGAGGGATATTTGCCACCATGCTACTTTGATACTAGGACGGTGGTGGATTCTGGTATCGGTTAACTCTTAGCTAAACTTCCTGATGGAAACGCCGGACTCCTTCTCAGCTTGCGAGACCTTACTATGGGATTAATCCCCTCTGTACCTCACAGTCCGACACCCAGGAACACCTCACAGCCACGATGAGGCGGTATACCGTTGGGAGGGATATTCACTATAAAAAAAATTGAAATAGTAGTCTATCAGCATCCAAATCCCTATTAGTGAACTCGTTCGAAAAATGGTTTTTTGTATATTTCTATGTGTAAAATGGAGTTTTTCTCGACCAACAGCCAATACAAATTCTGCGTTCTACAAACTCTGTTAATACCAAAAGTTTAGGAAAATAGTTTTATGTGTTAAAATAAACCACCGGCAAGAAAGTGGGACTAACAGGTGCCTTACCTGCCACATCCGCAAAAGCATTATGACACCAATAGGTGTCACTCGTTGCAAGATTGTTGATAAAAGTACGCTAATTACGAAAAACCAGTACTTGTTGAGAGCAGATATTGTTAGTGAAGATGTCAAGTAATAAAATTGACTTTTCTTCTACAACAATTTTTCATTTTCTACCTAGAAATCCTTACCCTAGGATTCGAACAGCATGATATCCCTGTCCAGTGAATGAGTCACCTTTGCGAGCTGCCAACTCCGTATGACGATAAACACCACCGGCATACATGAAAAAATCTTCATGAACGACGAAAGTCGCCTGCACCGGTCCGTTAGTGATGATCTCCGTCATGATGTCCTCCTCCCTATAAACATAACCAACACTCTTAACAGTTGTTCTCTTTTTAGCTTCTTTTTTGTCATTTTCTTTACTGTTTCTTGGAATTTTTCATATCGCTTTAACGATTACACCTAACAACTACTGACAGACTGACAAAATTACAAGTCATTTACAGCTCACACATGTTTCCACACTATTACATACCTATGCATTTTTGAAAATAGAACTGAAAGATGTGCGATGCCATTTAGATATGAATGAGACCGTATATAGATAAGTAGGGAACGAAGCTAAAAAAACGATAAAGTTCTCGGCGTTGATCCATCCCTGAAGGATGTGCCATGCATTCGACTTCATTAAGCATCATTCAGAGGTGACTGAATGCATATCTGGCCTTTACGATGACTCGTGGTGGTCTACCGATGTATCAAGACAGCGCTGCTATCCTCCTAGACAAGTCTGGTACTAGTTTGCCAACACTGGAGGGATGGGGGGCTTGGTGGGCCATGGGCGGAGGGATCGATTTCACGTGTGTGTCACAGTGGCGCCTCTAACCATTGCGCCACACGCGCCCACTTGGGAATAAAGATATTGGTTCATAAATAGTTGGTGATGTTTAGCCTTGCTTAGCGAACTTGACATTTAGGACCCTCCCAATTAACGAAATTAATCTAAACGATCAAGATACGTCGACAAAAAGGAGTCAAGAACCATTGAGAAGATGAAGATGAAACGTAGTAAAGCTACCCTAATTACGCTAAGGAGTCCTTTTAAATATACCTGCTCGATACACGATATGGAGGCGTCATTTTATAGACGCTGCTGTCGAATTCGGGATTTGCCGGACATGTGATGCTATTACCGCTCTGAAAACAATAACTGTCTTTAATGCATAGCTTTTTACTTACAGCCAACCATTTTTTCATGGCAGAGTATTATTTGAATTACAACCACAATAATGCTGCGATATTTCCAAAACTCGAACCGAGGCAAGATTCGAACTAGGGACTACTCTTTTCGAAGGTTCACGTGTTACCCACTTCGCCACTGACACTCACGTTTAGGTGTCGTTCTATGGTGAGATATCGAAAAGAAAAGAAAACATAAAACGAAAGGCAAAATAGAGAAAAAACAGTCAATAGTTAAATTAATATTCAAATTCTCTCCCATTAAGAACTTCTTGTACGCGACCATCATTGATCTTCTCAATAATATTCCTGTGACTGGTGAATTTCTCCTTTAATATTTAGAATATGACCAACACCCATGTGGTTCTAAGTTCTTATTTTGTGAATTTGAAGGAAGAAAATGGCTAATTTGGAAGTAGCCGTAACTTCGTTCTTAATGGTTATCGCATTTCATCGTCCATCCCAAAATATACCACGGCCAGGCGATTCGGAGAACTTCGACCATTTATGGACGAATAACGAGGTTTGTACCTCGATTCGATTTCAAACCACCGCCAACCAACGACACTAATTCCGCTTTGAAAATCAGCTTACCCGACGTTAGCACGTCCATCTGTCCGCCCGCCCATCCTTCGGTTCATACGGGTAGAGATGACTTGACAAATAACATGAGATGTTTATCGTATTTTTTCTTCCTTTTTTGACTTCTTCGCCGTCAAAAGAAAATGGAAGAAAAAGGAAAACAAAAGACAGAAATTGCAAAAGAAAAGGTCTACAGTTATTAATCAGTCAAAGTAGAAATAAAACATTACACTAAAAGTATGAGAAATATGTTAGTGAAGCGCCATTTACAGAAATATATAATAATACTTCTTGACCCTTTCCTGTTATTTTTGGCATTTTATGAACCAACTTTACACACTATGCGAATCCCAGTAATTCATCCATTCGGTTAGTTTTATTGTATCCATCATCCACGTCGGTACTCCGATTATCGTGTGAGGTTAGATGCCAGCTGACGAGTCTGTCTCGTTGATAAACGTCCATGAACCCTGGCAGAATTTGTTCTCCTTACAATCCTTGCCTTCTGTACTACAGCGTTCGGAGGATTTCGGCACAAGGTGCCATCAACCATTGTGGAGAAGATGAACATTTTCGCAGGTAAGTTTCGTCAACCATGATGCGGTACAGGGGGATTAATTGGCTTATGAGAAAGTCGAATGAGCGACCATGTGGGTATTATTAGATGATATATCCAACCACTACACCTTTCACATCCCCAAACACAATAAAAAAAAATACGTATATGAAGATGTACACGATAGTCTACGACCTAAATATATTTCGGCTTGTTCCTGGATGTTGGAATGCGATGAACTGTAAGGGCTCATCCTATGGTGGCGTTAACCAAGCTGAAATGAGCCCCGTATTTCTAATCGGAAATCCAGATAGGAATAAACATATCCCACATGAGAGCCCAGAGCGTTATCTGTGCTTACCTTATGGTCAAAGACGATAAAAACGCTTTATATCAAAAGTAAAATATCCTCCAAACCAACGGAGCCTATGGGACAGCTCTGATGTGACGCGCGACAAGGATGAATGAAGGGTTTATTGATGCCAGCTAGAATCATTCGATGGTTAGCATCGTTGTAGGTGATGAAAATGGCATGGATAGTTGAAGAACCAATTTTGAAAGCAATACATCTGATTATTTAGCCCCTTTGAATAATTATTATAACAATTAACATATGAAGGACCCATAATAGTGAATATATTCGAAGAATTTATAGAAGGATACGACAGAATATTCGGTTCCTGGGAGAACTATTCGAAAACGTCTAAAGCGTACCTTGTAGCTTCGTTTCGAGATCTGACAATTTCCAGGTTCACGAGTTCGACCAGAATCGTATGGATAACAGTGCTCATCAACCACACTATAAAATCTTTTACTACTCGTGATTACTGAACCAAGATGTACTAGTTCACAATGAACAGTTATTGACTGAAATACTAATCAGTAGAATATACGGATCTTTTGTCAATCAGAAGAAAGTGTTCTCATGAAGTTTCTCAGTTCTAGTTTAGCAACTTGTCATCGTATCTAGTAGATTCTCAAACATTCTGACGTTATCTGCGTGAACCCATCTCCAGCAACGTTCAGAAGAATGCTGACTTTGAGTCAGCTCGATGAGCAATCTGTAGTAGATTTTTCTCTATGCCAAACTAAATCTCTTCTACTATGGTCAGTTGTCCTTCTACTGACACTTGACACTTGAATAGCACGTCCTCACTGGGTGCGCGAGTCCCATCATAATCTCCATTTTTCGGAGATTTGCTGGCTAGGCCATTGTGGTTCCCTGGAATTCCGAGGTCAGCCTGGCCAAAGTCTGCCCCAGGTCATCACCACCACAGGCAGTCGCAGCCCTTGTGGATCAGAGGGAGATTTGCCACCATGCGACTTTAAAACCAAGACGATGGTGGATCCTGGTATCGGTTTACTCTTAGCTAGGCTTCCTGATGGAAACGCCGGACTCCTTCTCAACTTGGGAGACCCTGCCGGGTGGACGAATCCCCCGCTGTACACCGCAGTCCGACACCCAGGAACACCTCCCAGTCACGATAAGGCGGTAAGCTGTTAGGAGGGTTGTCGTTCTATACACGCCGAAAACGTTTTCCATTTCAAGGTTACCTCGCTTCTCTTCAAAAAAGATGTTTTTAAGCGGCAGCTTCGTTTTTTTCTACAGGGAACAAAAAAGCGAAGAACGCAATCCCTAGTAAGCTTTTACAAGTGATCAAGCAAAAATCGGATCTAATCTTTACTAAAAGTCTAAATGATGACATTTCGGTGGATAATAAAGGATAAAGGATAAATCTCTCGGCGTTGATCAAACCCTGAGGGATGCGCCATGCATTCGACTTCATTAAGCATCGTCTGGAGGTGATTGAATGCACATCTGGCATTTACAATCACTCGCGGTAACCTACCGATGTATCGAGCCAGTGCTGCTATCCTGCCAGACAATTCTGGTACCAGTTTGGCGACCCCGGAGGGATGGAAGATTTGGTGGGCCATGGGCGCTGTGATCGATTCCACGTGTGTGTTGCAGGGCACCTTCGACCACTGCGCCACACACGCCCCACGGTGGATAAGAAGTACAAACTGTTGTGAAGCGAGTGAGATAGTGGTGCAAATCATCGCCTCCACGCATTATCAATGACGTTTAATTTGAATACCGCTGAAAGGAAAATCGTTGAAGTTCAAAACAAATAACTGCAAAATTTCTCAATTGTAAACGATAAGAAGTGATTCTCAATGAAAAACAAAATGGAAAGCAAGCTGAGACCTGTGAATTTTGTAATAATTTACTGGTGAGATAACCAGTAAGTCGAAGATTATACTTCCCCTACGATCTACCACGCCGCAAAAAGACTCAAAGATGTTAAATTCGTTTTTACTGCCTTCGTTATCATCACCATCGTCATCTTCATTATGGTCACTATCATCCTCATCATCATCATCATCATCATCATCATCATCATCATCATCATCATCATCATCATCATCACCATCACCATCATCCTCTCTTGCTTTATTTTGAATAGTTTAAATTATTTGTCATAACGATAAGCAATAGGCGACATAGCAGATAGACCTAAGCGCTACACGTCTGCTATTGGCTACATTGCAGCAACTAATAGCAGCGATGCAGTCGTTGTTGGTACCTTTGCAGCTCCTTATTTGCCGTGACCTTCATTACTAGAAATCAAGTATGCTTTCCCTTTAATAAACAAAGATAGAAATTTAAGCTCAGCAGCTAGCAATACAAAAAGAATTGCGATGGACCAAATGATATCTAGCAGCGATTTGTACTTGTATGTGAAAGTAACCTGTAGATAAGAAATTAATGCACGAAGTCTTCTATTATGACAAACATACCCCAACTTCCGAATATACCACCATGCTCTGTCCAGGTATCCACCTTCACAGCCACGTTGACGATGTTGATTACAAGAGAGAAGTTGTTGCGGTGAAATTGTGGCATTTATTCGACCGTCAGATATAATCGATAGCCTTAAAGAACTTTCTCGCCCTTTATTTACTTAAGAAGTAGTAAAAGCGCCAAAAAAAACAGTTCCCAAAAAGCTAATTGTCATTTCTGGATAAAGAACACTTCAGAAGTTTGGTTTAACAAACAGCCACCTTAGTCAATATGATAACTCGTTCATATGCGTTTGGACCTTACCTGTCGGATGAGATTGTCGTCGTGGATACAGCCCAACTGCTACCACAATCGCCTTGATCTCGAACCTCGTGAATGAAATCTGGCCATCTAAAATTGTCACAATCACTGTTAATGTTAATACAGTTGGTCAATAAGATCGATACGCACTTGTCGCGTACGTCGAAGTGTTTTGGGAGTTCACGAGGTTTAATGACGATCTCGTTCATATTCTGAACAGATTGTTCTGGAAAGAGGGTGCCAAGGCGATATTTAATGCCTTCGTCCAAGCTTCGACCCCAGAAGAACGAGTAATTTTGTGCTGTCCATCTAAATTTTGTTTATTTATTTGACTAGCTTAATTCCTACCATCATTATCAAATGCAGTCTAGTAACTCATTGACTTGCCCTATTTAGCGCAAATAGACTCCATTCGCCTCCTACGAGCACGAAGACTGCTCTGTGAGCTCTGCTCATTAAAAATGTAGAAAGATCCCCTCATGACACACTTCTTTAAAACACTTTTTTTGGTAAAAGAACAACTGCACGCAGATCACATAGATTTATTTTAAACTGGGCTTCTAGATGGTAATTGCAAATTCCTATATAGCGTAAGTGACCTTCTTGCTAGGGAGCTGGGCCCCCGCCACCAATCGAAGTTGTTGAACTATATAACATCCAGCAAAATACCCAAGTTACAATGAGGCGGGAAAGCATAAAGAAGGGCAAATTTTCGTCACCATTCAAAGAACTTTTTAAAAATATTTTTGGTCTCTTAACATTAAAAAAAACACTTACATAGCCGCCAAATTTATGACCACTTGCCTTGAACTAACAAACTTTGTCCCTTCATGAAAAGAAAACAATAGTAGAAAAACGACTGACTTAACTCTAACGTCTGGTTTTTCTCTTCCATAGATCGTCACAACATGCATCGATATGGCTTATTAACAAAAAATCAATACCAACAATGATTCACCACCTTATCAGAGCAAGGATATGCTACCTTGGGCCTCGGTTCATGTTGTACAGCAAATACTCCATACAATTTAAATGGGGATTATGTTGGAGTCCGAAATACTCTTCATAAAGACATAAAACTATTCAAATAGACAAAGAAAGTAAGTTGCGATAAAAACCGTAAAGAGGATAAAGCGTTCGGCGTTGATCAGTGTCTGGGTAACGCGCCGTGAATTAGTTCTAGTTGAGCATCGTAGATGTGATTCAAGTCATATCTGGCTTAAATTGTGACTTGCGCTAGCCTACAGTTGTCTTTATCTTCCCGGAAAAGTTTGGTATCAATTTTCTAACTTCTGCGGGAAAGAAAGTTTAGTGAGCCCACTGCTAGGATTCGAATCAGGGATCGATCCACAATGTACAGGTAGGGCACCTCTAATCACTGTGCTACATATACACACCCATATGTAACGATACTGATCGCTAGGAGTTGAATTTTCCTACAAAATATCTCATGAAAAGCGTTTAACCTCAGATTTCAAGTAGTGAAATTCTGTCAACTACACGAATAATGACGAGTGTCATTTCACAGTGCTGTTTTGAGTTTTTGTGTCGACCACCTTGATATCCGCTCAATGACGAATGATCGCCACAGTCAAGATGAATTGCTGGACACAAAAGAAGAAAAGATTGGCGAAACAAGTGTTTTAAAAATACTATTTAGCATATACCTACCAATGTATTCTATATAACTCCATAAGTATTAACTGCTCTGCTGAAAACGATTCTGCCTATTCACTTCCTCTTAGTTAAAATGGTGGTTAGAGTGGTTGTCCTGGTGTTCTCCGTTTCTTTACGCAGTTTTCCAAAAGCACAAGTGGAAATTGGTTCCTAACTCTCAAGTGATTAGTTCCCTGGTTCTGTCTAGGTGGAATAACTTTATTCATAGGTGATTATGTAGATGAGCTGGCGAGTAAGTGGTTACACTTTGCATGTCGATTCGTCCTAAAGCCTGGAATCTAATGAACGAGATAAACATGAGGAGGGTGTAGGAGTTCGTAGTCGTCACCAAGAACAATCTCCATCAGAGCCGAATAAGCTGCTAGTCGGTATCACTTTGCCAAACTTAATACCCAGCAATCGTCATTAATCTTGTGTGAGACTATAAATAACACAACGCAGTTAGCCAAAACAGTTCAATCCAAGCTTAAACACCGAAGAATTTTCCAACACGCTTTTGTACTCGTGGGAATTACTGCAGAAAATCACAGAATTGTTAGCGCCGCCTGCGATCTACTCTATTCCCATCCATGTTACTAAGTAAGAAGAGGTAATCACTGTCCCTGAGTTTAAGCAATCGTATATTCCTTTTCTCAGACTCATATAGTTTTCATAGCGAACTGGTTCCGATGATCGACATCGACAAAATGCTATGAATATGAGTGAAATATTCAGATTTTGCTGATCCGTGACATCGATCCCCACCCGCATTAGCGCAATTCGTCGCCGGTGCCCAATAAACAGACTACCGTCCGAGCGACGATGCTCGGTTGTCCGTCTGTCGTTGGAACGGTGTGTAATGAGGACGACGAATGTCAGCGTCGACGTCGGCGATGGTGGCGATGGCGTGGTCGGCGGAAGCGGCTGCGGAGACGACGGTGGTGGTGGCACGAATTATCTTTGGAAACGATGCATTCACTTGTCGGAATGATCATATCAATGATATCGGGTCGTATCATCAATCAGCAGTGATTAGGATATCTGTCGACAATCGATAAATTCCGAACGGTCTCCAGTCTCCACTACATCGAGCGTGACGCCATCAGCATAAAACATGAGACGTTCCCATGATGGCAAAAAATACGAGGACCCTATATGATTCAGCTTCGATTTGAATCCATACGATGGTTTTTCCGAATATTTCCTAGGATCCAGCCGATAATCAAAAGATAGTCCGGAGAAGATAACAAAAATAAGACTTGCAGAATTCAGAAAACTTTCAAAATAAACAAAACTTCAAAGAGATACGATTTATATTATCTCATCAGGTTGCAGATAATCTCACAACTCTAATGTTCGTGGGTAAAAACAATTCTGTGGTAACATAACTGTAGGTGTTTTCCTCTGGAGACTCATGTCCTTCATACTCCTGTAATTCGATTATTTCAAGAAATCCAGGAAAAGTGAAAGAAGACCGAAGATGTTTACAATATATGTAATTTGCACTCTACTGCAGAGCTGTATTGCTGTTCGTCAAAAATCGATGAAATCGATAATCCACGAATGATCGCTGTGGTCTTATTCTCAAATGATTTGCATGTCTTCACAGTAAACGTTAAGAAGAAACCGAAAATCCTATAAAACTAGCCCAAATCTGTTGTAATGCTGTCGGCTATTCACTGATGAAAAACTCCTTTACATTAAAAATGCTTATGCATAAAAAAGGAAATTATTCTAGAAACTCTTTCGAAGATACTGTAAAGGAAGTGAACATTCTGAAAATCCACATAGAAATTCTTTCCCCTGCTACCAATGAAACGCTGCTTATACTAGTTCACAGTTGGTGGTGGTATAGGTATTCGCAAATATGTGGTTCCATCCCTGTCAATGCCATTCCAACCTAACAAAAAGATCTTACACTCTCATTCATTTGTAGAGGTAACCTAATGTGAAACCATATCCTAGATCTCAGCAGAATTGGATAGTATCTGATTCCTTTGATTCCCCGAGCACCCTTAACACCTTTGGAATGCAGTGCGGCGAGAATGCGCTAGTGAGTGCCCGCTCAAGTTGCTCGACGACTAACAAGATTAGAGGTGAAACAGGTGATTATTAGGACATTTTCTCCAATTATTGACAACTATAGGGGATTGGAATATGGGTAGTTAGAGTACAGATAGCAGAGAATAGGAGAACTAACAGGCTTGACAAGTTCCACAGAAAAAAGATACGTGGATCTCGCAGAGAGATGAAAAGAAAGTAATCAGTAAAAAAAAAGGACTAACGAGGTGAAACAATGAAAAAAGGCAAGAATACACTAAAGGAAAAAGCGAGAAGGATTTAAAAAGATTTAAAGACAAGGAGAATGATGAGCGAACGAAGGAAATATACGTATGGTAGATAAACCCACGAAAATCGGCCACGTTGCACTTCTTCCAGGAGATCTTCTTGGATTAAACATGTCGACGTATCGCATTTCCATAGTCCATTCAAACATGAACTATAAAAAAACAATCGACTTTTTTATAATGAAATTTTGTAAATAAATATGCGCAGGAATGATTGGAATTTAATTTTTTCCTCTTTCTTTCCTTCTCCTTTTTCCCTTTTTCCCCTCAGACTTTTTTTCCTTTTTTCCTTTCTTTTTTCCTCAATTCAATTCCTCAGACTAGAGATCTTCCTGAAATGGCGGACAACTTGAGAATATTGGTAAAACAACAAGCATCCTAGTTACAAACTTCTTGAGAATATCAAAAAATGACTCTAGCAAGTTGTCCCAGACGTATAACTTCAATGATGCTGAGATATTTGCAAAACTTCGAACCGCAGGTAAAATTGTGATTATGACTACAGCCTCAGCTTAACTGGGTTCGTTGCCGATTTGGCCCACCCAGATCAAGCCCGCTGACGGGTGATCGCTGATGGCAGAGATCGATAGAACTAGCTGAGAGACAGGCGAAACAAAAGACACGCATGGTGTGGTGTTGAACGCGTTACTTCCCGGAAAAGCCGATAGCGCGTTCGTTCCCCACCGCAGACACTTGCGGTCCGGGGTTCTGCAAATATCTCAAAGTAATTGAAGTTATATTTCGCAATATATCTTCCCATTAAAAAGAGTACGCAGTAAATAATAAGTTAGAATTGTCCCAGAAGTACTTGAATATCTCTATAAAAGACTTTAGAATGGGTAACGATTTATTTCTACAACCTATCAAGAATAATTAACTGAAATTAAGAATACAGTGTCAAAATTACTCCATTCTACAAAAATCTCAGCGCAAGTGACCATTTCTAAGGAAAAGTTATACAGAAAAATTGCAGATTATTGTTTGAAATATTCACGACTCGTGTCGTTCAGCGGCTCTCTGACTTGGGACGAAGGCTAATCCTCAACCTTCACGGAAATAGGGAATCATTTTACAACAAACGATAATTTTCCAATGATCATAGGTCTTTAACGGTGAGAACACGAGAGTATTGTAGAGGAGACTCCGCTTTCTATGCGTATTAATGGTGTGCTTGCAACCATTTACTGCATGGTACTATCCTATATCCTTCAACAACACTGTGGCTAACACTTCGAAAGGTGTTGCAACTTACGACCAGCCTATTTCTGTATTTTTTACACCTGTACATTCTATAGCATAACAAAGAATTAGTATAGCAATTATAACTGAGATAAGAGTAAATTGTTAGTCAGATTACCGGTCTATAAAATCGTTCAAGAAAATGATTTTTCCGCATATTTCTAGGCGAAGTCTTTCCTGTAGACCTCGTCAGAACACATCTCTGTTGAAAAAACTATCTATGGATCAGAAGGATTGAAGAAAAATGAACGAAAAATAAGGAGAAAAATATGTGTGTCAAAATGAACCATCACAAAGAAACGTAGCCACATACTGCAGCTCACACCAGCCAAATGGTGCACTGCCACATGATTTATACGGTGACCACACTCTCCATTACGTGTTGAGAAATAAATATTTCTAAGCCTATAACAACTTGCCAGATTATGGATCTTGGCCATTAGTTACTTTCTTTCTACTGACTAGCTCACCGTCTACTATCAGTTATTGAACGCTGATGCTCCGACGGTAATAATCAACGATGGCTGGAAAAACTGTTAAGTAACTATGAAAACTGCAAAAATGATGAAAAGACCATTGCGATGGAAACCGTCCTCTTCCGCTTTGTTTAATATTCACCGTTGAAATGAGAAATTTTACGCTGATTTATTTTTTTTTTACCCATACTTCCATTTTAAATGATTCCTTCTTCTAAGAGCACTTTGCCTTCCATGTTTCTTTTATATAACTATATTAAATGCTCTGAATGGAATATGAATATAAAGCTTATAGAATAAAGTGGCCGAGAGAAAGGCAAAGGAAAAGTCTCAGCGGTGCAGTGGGTAACAAGTGTGCCTCCGGAAACGGTAGTCGCCTGTTCGCAAAAAGCTCCGCGTAATTGTGGTTGTAAAGCTTCTTTCTTCTCACCTTTGACGGTTCTCTTGACGCTTATCAAAGACATTTTGGAAAAAACAACAAAAACAGTTATGTTAAGTTTCTACTTTCTGCCTACTATAATTTTTTACACTAGGGTACGATGTGCAGCACAACCACAATGGTGCTGGGGTATTCGCAAAACTTTCACTCTAGGTCGGATCGAACCACAATTAACCCTTTCGAGGAGATCGCATGTTATACATTGCACCACTGAGGTGCTTTTCTCTTAGCTAGTTTTTCTAGCTAACACTTCCATCAGCATCACAGAAGCAATTATATTTCCGTATTCGCCACACTTATGACTAAAAACCCATATATATATATATATATATATATATATATAAGACTGCGGCACGCACGTGGAATCGATTCCCGCGCCCATGGCCCACCAAGCCTTTTATCACCCCGAGGTCGGCAAATTGGTGCCAGACTTGTCTTGGAGGATAGCAGCAGTGACTCGATATATCGGTAGGCCACCGCGATTCATTATAAAGGCCAGAAATGCATTCAATCACCTCCAACGATGCTTAATGAAGCCGAATGCATGGCGCATTCCTCAGGAATTTATCAACGCCGAGAGCTTTATCTTTTATCCTTTGTATAAGAATATACGGTATTCCACGGTAAAAATCCATGCCTGTTTGTCTCCCTCAATGAGAGCTTTTATGATTTCAACCTGATCTAGGCTTATAAAATGTTAAGAGGCAAGTAAAAGAAAGGAGATCAATGAGAAACATTGAGAATGGTCTAGTAACATTCTAGTGCGAGACAAAACATTTAAACATTATAGGAGCACAACAACAAAAGGATACTAACTACGAATGTTGGTTGGACAAACATCTGAGACTCTTGTGTGTCATTTAAAAATACATCCCATTCATTGTGTCGTGGTTAAGAAAAGCTAGGTACATCTATTAACCTCAGCATTGGAACATGAATGCGTCGTCATCCGTCATCATCAACCGTATGCGACTATAATCAGCTATTCTAATCCTCCTCAGTGGAAGTCACGAAAAAAGCGGTGGGTTTCTCGAGAAGCTGTGGGTTATCTTAACCCTTTTATTTACTGCCTTTTTCTTTTTAATGCCAAGGTATGTTGCGAAATATAACTCTAATGCTGAGATATTTGCAAAACTCCGGACCGCAGGTGTATGCGGTGGGGAACGAACGCGCGCTATTGTCCTTACCGGGGAGTAGCGCATTTCACCACCACACCATCCAGGTGTTTCGCTTTGCCTGTTTCTCAGTTGTTGATTATGTTATTGCCATAGAATTTTCGTCTTTTTGTGTTATTGAAGCGTTTGGCCTAGCAAATTGTACACCAGTACGCCCTTCCAGACCGAAGAAGGTGATACTGCTGAAACGTCAGCTACTGTTGCATTGTATTATGTTTCTCTATGGAAGTAAACGTATACTGTCTAACAACCTCGTGAACGCTAAACAAGAAAACGACGCTAAGCACATCGCCCTGCCATGCGTCAAGACAACCAAATGAACTCCGCTTGTTTGACAGATACAAAGCCCGTAACATTTCTAGAAGAACTCCTCCATTTTTTCTCTTTTTTTTTTCACGAACTCGTGCCCAGAACGGTGGATTCTTGTCCAGGACTTGCAGCAGGAAATGAACATATCAAGGGGTAGGCTATTAGACCGAACCGTAAATGATGCATCATTACGAGATGATCAGAACCATCTTCCATATACTTCATAGCCATTTCATTACAAGGCATTCAACGAATCGATGTGGAGACTATAATCTCCATGTGTGCAGGAACACCCATGCATATTTAACAAAATATTTGCTTATATTCCTAAATGATGACAGTTTTAATAATAACTGCACGACTGATGGCACACTTTCCTTTTAAATAATACTATTTTTTGCTGATTTGGCAAGAATTCGTTATAGTCTAGAGAGACTAGTGAAGGAACATTCTCAAGTAGTCATCAAGTCATCCAGGTAGTCATCGGATAACAAAGATGAAAGACCCTCCACTTTATGAATGTCTACGCTTCTTCAAAGAGAACGGTGACTCTTGGCAATGGTGTAGTCCTAGATGGGCTTTCAGATGAAAATGTGGAATTCATTCCTGGCCATGGAGACCCAGTTGGGGGTGGACCTCCTGCTGTTCATCGTAGTTTGCAACTTAGGAGCACGGATTCTCATCCATGACGAGATAAGGGTAAGACATTGGGGATTCCATGAATTAGATACTAATGCTAGTCCTAACAATAATAATAATAATAATAATAATAATAATAATAATAATAATAATAATAATAATAATAATAATAATAATAATAATAATAATAATAATGATAATAATAATAATAATAATAGCAACAATAATAGTGATAATAGAGAAGAAATTTAAAGAGCATTTCGTCATTACATTTTTCGCAAGCATTAGCAAAAAGAATTTCCGTAACCGAACTAACCATGATTTACAATTCTGCTCTATGGTTTCGCCGTCATGGTAACGTATCCCTTCCGATATACATTCTGTAAAATTAACAAACGAAGTCTTTTTAAACTATCCTGCCACTTACTGACTAATCCTAAGTGAGATTGAAACCAGTAAGGGAAGAGGAGGGAAAAAGCCAGGGCGCATGTGGAGCAGTGGTTGGAGGCAGAGAGAGCTTTAAGGGAAAAGCTCAGTTTGCATATCTTACTTGCACTTGCTCTTAAAACTTTTCCTCCGAACATGTAATCGCTATTACCACGAACATGGTTTCTTCGTTGTTAACAAGAAAAACTCTTCGAAAAAAAAAAGAGATTCCTATAGACAGGAATTATTACTTTTCACTTCCTTACTTATCCTATTCACTATCATTTAATTTCACGATTTTACTTAATGTTAAAAAACTTCAAAAATGAAAATTTCGAAGAAAAATAGCCGGACACACCTTGGCCGCTCAGATCTCCTTGATAGTCGCTTCGTTTCCGACTGCGACATGTGGGTTCAAAGTCCGGACAGCAATCGTTCCCTGCATGATATCAATAGGTATCGATTAGCCAAGTACCTAATCCATCTATATATCTGAGTTAAAAACAAAATTAAAGGAAACTATTCAGATATTTCAATAAAGGAAAATGCTTCATTATTATGAGATTGCCCGGAAATTAATGCAGAAACGCATTTCCCAAAATTTCAATAACGAATACTCATGAGCCATTAAATTTGCAAAGAAGCTTATAATATTCGGTTTTTTCATTTTTTACTTTATTTAATCCGCCTTCACGTCTACTGTGCGGATCCTGGCACTTCTCACATTCGATTCGTTTCCTCGCATCAATTCTCCACAGAGATCTTCCAATGTGGCTTTGGCTGCTGCGCGAGAATTTTCATTTCATCTTGAATGTCTTAGAATGCTAGTCGAACAATCCACCCTGGAGTCCTCAGAGCCGAGCAAATGGATTGCACAGAGTGACTTTTTCCTCCAGACAAGTCCGGTGCCAATTTCCCGAATCCCTCTGGATGAGAGACTTCGTTGGTCCGGAGCGAAATCGAACTAGCACCATGCTCGTGATGACGGACATCATCATCACTGTGACATCCGCCCCTAATATTCGGTTTATCACCCAACAAAGCTTCGATATGAATATTTCACTTTTTATGTAATTTATGTTAAACAGTTTCCCATGAACGAATCATCTAATCAAATTGAAGACAAATTCTCTCCAAAATCTGACTTTTGAACTTAATCGAACTCTAGTAAGCTCCTTTTCTTCGCAATTTTCCATACTCCCTTGATAATTCGAGTATTTCAACAGAAATGAAAAGCTGGAAAAACTTTTAAAAGAGATTTCTTCGATAGTGCCAAAAGTACGCTCTTTAAGACACCGTTTCAATTTTAAATGCGCTTAGTGATCAAATTTCCAGAAAGAAAACCGGAAAACGGTTACTAAGCCCCTAATATTTCAAATGAACTCGGGAAACATCCATCTTGTTCAATCTCTTCGTTGTTTTGAACACGATCACTAACGAAGAAAGAAATGAAGAAGTTTTGAAGATCCAAAAAGTCAGGATATCATCTTGCTAGAATAACTAGAGTCATATCTTATATGGAATGCTCTGTAGACTTCAACAGTCTTTATGTAAATTGACAAAGTTCATTTAATCTGAGATATCTCCGTTGAAAGGCGCAGATGATTATGGCAATATATGCATTGAAACCAATGCGTACATAATGGGATTAAGTAATCGAGTATTCGAGACACTCACCACCATCCGGTCCTCGGTCACAGAACATATCACAATAACAGAGGTGATCGCCAAGAATTGGTGCAGTACAATCGTCATCACGACTCTCGCAGCATGATGGTGTACGTACTGCACAGTACCGACCTGAACTGCTCGCAGTACATTCCGAATATGTAAGCTGTTTTTGGAACAATTTCATGTCTATTTCCAGTACTCGTCGTTTTATTTAATAACACGAAAAAATAACAGCAATCGTTTGAACTTCTATGGAAAAGTGGAAAGAAAAAAGAAACGAAGCAGTGGTTGGAGTAACAACGCTAATAACAAAGCTAATAATAAAATTTTGAAACGAAAAGACCATGAGAATGCTGAGGTATGAGAATCTCAGCTGAGCTAACCCGCGGTTACTCTTACAGGGGGGTCCACCATACCAGTCAAAGCCTTTGATTTGTTTTTCTCTCATCCAGCTTTTTACTCTAACAGTGCCATCAGCAATCACCCAAAGACCATAATTATAACATAATAGGAAGAAATGGTGTGACATCCTGCAATATAACATAAATCTTATCGTATTTGGGCTTTACAGCTGACATTTCAGTAGTTTCAACAAGTAATTGTAACGTTCTATCGACTTGTATATTATAACACTATAAAAAGAAAAGCCATGTTTTAATAGACGAAGAGAAAACGAATGAGAAGATTGGCAAGTGTTTGCAAAGGGTGTGAAGGTCGTCGCGCGTTACGGATGGCGTCGCAAACGGTGACAGTGCGAGTTCGCATCCCTGCTGCGGCTTGGCAAACCCACAACATTCCATTCATACCGGATGCCTTTTCATTCTCGCCAATTTTTTCTTCATCGTCTTTCATCTATTCTATTCATTCCCGTATCTTGGGCACGCATCAAGTTATGGTATGTTTGAGGAGTAGTAGGAATATAAGTATAGTACAGTAAATAAATAACTAACAAGAGAACATGTCATGAACATAAGTGAACTTCATAAAACAAATGAACCAATTCGTGTGTTTCTCTAAAAGAACGTATTTGGCTAGCTAAAAATGGGTGATTCAAGAAGTCTTCAAAGGAAGAATAACGAAAAAAAAATAAGTAAAAAACAAAGATGAAATTTACGTAAACGTCCTACTCATAAATAAACACATACTAGTGGTGAGGACAGATCGTTGATCTTAATGTCCAATAATTTCAATGCTCTTGTTGTATGATCCTACCATTAACGGGCAGGGATAAAAATCATGAATAGTCTGGATGCGGATCTGAACTGCCAAACGCATGACTGCGATCGGCACTTCATTCCACTGCACAAAATAGCACTTAAGACAGTTGACTTCTATCGAAATTCCCTACCAATTATAACTAAGTATTATAGAAGAAAAAAGAAGAGATTAGAGAAAAGAAGATTATGTTTGAAAATAAAACAAATACAAAACGCATATTAAGAAAAAAAATAGCTCCCAAGATCGACTTTCTCTTAACCTCGGCATTGGAATATGAATGTGTCGTTTTCTTGCTTAGCAATCGCGAGGTTTTTAAACAGCATACATTTACTTCCATAAAGAAAACACAATACAATACAACGTTAGCTGACGTTTCGGCGGTATCGCCTTCTTCAGAGCCGCTTTTTCGTGACTTCCAATGAGGAAGTTTAGAACAGCTGATTATAGTCGCATGTGGTTGACGACTCAAAAAAAAAAAAAAATAGCAATGAAATATGGAAGGCATTTTAAAGAAGAGAGACGAAACTGACAAGAAAAGCTGTCAGCGAATTCTATTATCAAGGCTAGTATTACTGCTATCATTACTGTTACTATTGTTATTGTTATCAGTACTACTATTATTATTAGTCCTACGAGTAAGATTGGTAAAACCATTCTTAAAACAACTTTTATTAGTTAGTTAAAAAAAAACTGGTTGACAGAACTGAAATGTCGCGCCATGAACGAACAGGTTGTTAGTGTCGCTAGTGACTTTCCCACAGGCTCAATTCATCATCGTTATCACTTCTAACGATTAACGACAGTTCGTAGATGGAAAATACAACTGCAATATGGCTAGTAGTGATAATAATAGATAGTAATTACGAAAATGAAGAACGTAAAAAAGACTTTAAGATGGCGCTGATCGATAGAACTAGCTGAGAGACAGTTGAAACAAATGACCCGTATGGTGTGGTGGTGAATGCGCTAACCCCGGAAAAGGTAATAGCGCGTTCGTTCGCCACCGCAAACACCTGCGGTCTGGAGTTTTTCAAATCTCTCAGCATCATTGAAGTAAAAAAGACGTCAAATTAAAGATGTCGAAAACTAGTAGGACTTTTCTACATCAAATTATTCAAAAAAAAAGAACGAGTTCCATAGCCATCCTATAAAAGAAAACAAAACGAATATCTTTCAAAGTCTCTTAGATTACAAGTAGATAAAATAGCTGCTGACACCTTCTTCGATTACTAGGCAAGCATGGGAGTGAAAGAAAGGAGCTAAAAATAGCTGTTTATTTAAATATACACGTAATGAAGAAATCATGACGTCACAACGAGAAAAAATAAAACGATATGTAAGTGACAATTTTAACTTATTACTTACTGCCTACTCTTTTTAACGGCAGGGTATATATTGCGAAGAACGAAGAACCCGCATGGTATGGTGGTGAACGCGTTACTCCCCGGAAGGAACAATAGTGCGTTCGTTCCCCACCGCAGACACCTGCGGTCCGGAGTTTTGCAAATATCTCAACATCATTAAAGATATGTAAGTGGTTTAGAAACTTAGCTGTTTGGTTAATGAACCAAGAATGAGCTTTGTAATACTGATTGTTCTGGAAAAGGTAGTGAAGGATTTAGCAAACTGAGAACTTCTGATCAGAGATTAACGAACAATTCATGGATACAACAATACATTAACGAATAATGAACACAGTGCAAGAATTTACATTATGCTAACTTTTTATCTGCTGCCAACAATTTTTCACGTCAGGGTACTATGTGAAATGTAACCACAAAGATGCAGAGGCATTTGCAAAACTCCCGACCGCAGGTGTCAACGGGGGGACGAATACTCTTTCCGGAGGCTAACGCGTTCACCACCACACCATGAGGGTCCTTCGTTTCGCCTTACATTATATTACCTATATTACGCCTTAATTTACATTACATTACATATTATAAGAATAAAGTGAAGTGATATTAGAGAACTAATGATGAGCAGCTTTTAATGGGTTGCGGAAATTCCTGGTAGTCAAACTGCGATTCAACCCTGATGTTCCTCCTTTCTTACTCTCAGTCGAGTGTTAAGACTCTTCTGGCACGGTCGCAAGGTTCTCTCAAAACGAAATTTGTGAAGCATTTCCTACTAATTAGAACTAGATGACATCAAAATGAGATTTTGATAAAATGTGACTATTTACCACCATTGGAGCACGCCTAAATGTGAGTACGTATCCATCAAGATAGGAGCCTAACAAGATGCCTTCAGTTTTGTCAGAAAATAATAGGAATAGAAATGAATACTTGGAAGAAATTTGATTGTCCCTTTTTCTCTCAAGCCAACCGAGGCCATAAGGTAGCTCTGGCGTGCTATGAGAAATCGTGAAAATTTTTACTGGTATTCCTACGAGTAGCTCAGTGACTAACGGATGGCGAATAAATATGCGAACATAACAACAAAACAACAATATGAGCCATATATGGCTCACAGTGCCACAAATATATTGGTGAAAAATTCGACTAGCAGAAAACGTTGTGATGAGAAGACGTGCTGACGTGTGCTTAGCGTTCATCACTTCATAATGAAGAACGAAAGAATCACAAAATGTCAACAACAGACACCAATTGATAATATGACAAGCTTTCTAGAGCATTTTCTATCAAAAAAATAAGGATGGGAAAACACTGAGATGGCTGAAATGTTCGAGCTGAATAATCGAATATTCGATGCGATTCGACGATATCAACGACGAGCGTGCCAATGATATGACGGAAAGCCTGTTAGGTTTACGGTCATTAATCTACCTTTCTGAATAACTTTTCTTTCGCCAAGTGCTTCAATTCTGAAAAAAGTCAAAAGATTTATTAACAGAACGAATCCTATTCACGATTAGGACAGAAATAAGAAAAAAATTGATAGAGTGTATGGCTCATTAAAAAGAGATAAAACCGGTGATTAGAATGCTTATCAGTGAAATCACGTTTGTAATGAAAGAGCAAATATTTCTACTAAAAAGTACAGACTTTTTGAGCAGTACTAACGCGAAAAGATACGGTAGAACATGTTCTGAAGCTGGAAATGGGACTCTAAGGAGCTTCTGGAAAACTACAAGCTCATATAAATCTGAACATCAGATAATTAGGACATACATGATTTCTCTTAAAGGTTCTTCTTAAGATTCCCTTCTAAAACGCGATATGAAATGACGAATATCGACGGATAGACGAAAAAGAACACTACTATAATCGCGATGCAAAGTAAGAAAAAAAATAAACGAAGACTTTTCGATGTCGACTACAATCATCTTACCTGGTATTCGATAAAAACCTCTTCCTGTGACGTCATAGAGTGACATGAAAATGACTAGAAGTTGACCGAACAGTCTCATTCCGTTACGGAGACCGTCGTGGGTGGAGACGAACAACCACCCAGCCAGCCAGCAATGCTGTGCGCCTTCCCAGACCACGCCCCCACGTCGGCCCACACTCCCCTCTAAGGGGCTGCGTCTGTCCCGGGGACGGCAACTAATTTCCGTTGTGGTAACGATGCAGGGCAAAGGATTTGGTATTGCTCAGTCCGTGACGGATGCACTATGTATTTCACTGCATTCGTAGCATCGTCGATGTGATTGAATGCAGATCTGAGCTATCCAGTGACTTGCGGTAGCCTATTTATATAATCAGTCAGTGTTTTTATTGTTCCAGAGAAGTCTTACACTCATTTTCTGACCACGGAAAGACGGGAAACTAGGAATACCTAGACAGCGACCGATCTAGTGTCTTTTTGTTGTAGTAGGTGGGAAGTTTACGAAAGTACATCGAAAAAAAGAAAATGATTACCGTTGGCTTGGCTTAGTTTGACTATTTCATATGGGGAAGATTCACAGATGTCGATGGAAGTGCGAAAAGTGATCGAGAACGCTTGAATGATCACCATAGTTCCATGCGTAAATGTTGTAAGGATTAATTATGATATGAAAAG